TTAAATAAATATATATGTGCTTCAGGATAAACTCACAGCTCTGCAAGGGACTCTGCCTCAGAATATCATGGCTTGGTTCCCGGTCAGACTAAAGCTAGGTCAGTATTCAGGGAGGAGGCTGGAAAGAGCAAGAACTGCCTTCTTGCTGACCTTCAGCAGTGGAGAAGTGTCCCCGGGCTCCCCTCCTTTCCTCCTCCTGTGGCAAGCCACCCATCCTCAGCCTGCCACACTGCTCGCGATGATACGTCCAGACCCTGCGGCACTGCGTTACTTGATGGCAATAAATGCTTAGTGACAGCACCCTCGGAAGCAGGACACAGAGCCAGCTGGTGATGGATGAGGACTGGGACCGGTGTCACTGAGACAGCAGCAAAGAGGAGATCAGGGCTTTCTCTTCTCCCAGTCTGAATACCTATTTCAGAAAGCGATGACCAAAGCAGAACCAGTTAATGGCTGGGATTTCAAACTGAGCACAAATCCATATTTTATGTGCAAAGATTAACCAAGCAGATACCTTCTGACAGCAAAGGCACACGGTTGGACTGCAGAGAACTAAACAAGGTGGCGATTGGCTCTAAATACAGTAGGTGGACTTCACCGGAGTCACCACTTTGGGTGGATGACCATATTCTATCCCCGTGGCAGTAAGAAGGTGCCTGGACCTGGAAAGACCATCAGTCTAACGAGATCAATCTGTTTAGCTTAATAAATAGGAGGTGAAGAAATGACTTGAGCACTATCCAAAATATTGAAAGGCAGAAGAGATGTTGGCTAAAAGAGCTATTCAGCTGAAGAGACAAGGGTATGCAGATGCAATGAAGGGAAGAGAAGAGTCAAACTAAAAGCAAGGCACTTGTGAGACTACCTGCCACTGCAGTAATATAGAAATGGTTCTGACAGGTTCACCCTCCCTTGTAATGGTACATCAGATTGAGTGTTTGGGGTTTTTCCCTTAACAAATTGAACAGAAACAAATTAAGGGTTGTGCTACAGCCTGTATTTTGCCGTGGGTTAGATCAATGATCCAAATGTTCTTTGCTGGCTTTGCAGTCAATGAATCACTAAATTTGGATCCACATCCTTACCAGGTGGATCAGAACCAGAAACCAAGGTACTGCTTCCCCCAGGGTTTAATGGAGTTTCTGTCTGGTTCTGAAGCAGACCTGGGAATTTTAGTGAAAGTTTTATACCTGTTTTCCCCCTGAAAGCCTGACTGCAAGGTTCAAATGATTTTCTAAGCACCCCAGTTTTCATGAAATCCTTGTGATTGCAGAGAAAAGCTTGAACAGTCCTAAAAGTTCCAACACCGGCAGACAAATAAAATGAACTCTAAAATTGGGGGGTTTCCTGAGTTATGATTTTCTCGATTTGGCCAGGGGGTGCAGACTTTCTTCCTGACTCTTCAACAGCCAGGGTTGGCAATGCTGAGATAGTCTTCCTGAAAGCACATTCTGGCAGAGGGATTTTTATAGTGGGCACAGATATCTGATTTCTTCCACCTTTTCAGTAACAGGCTGTGAGCGTGCTTCTCTGGCTGTTTGGCATTTGCTGGAAAAGATTACGATGAGGAGAATCAATAAATTCCATCACAGATGACAAACATGGAGGGAAAACATAGCTTGGGGTTGCTAATCAACATCCGCAGTTGGGATGGATGGAGCATCCCAGGGTCAGATCCCCTCACCCGAAATGCTCCCACATGTGTTGGCAAAGCTCCTGCCGAGAGCTCCTCAAGGCGCAAGTGCCCCCCCTCCATCTGCAGTGGTGCTTCTGCCAGGTTCCTGGTCCCATTTCAGCAGTCTCCTGTCTCCTCGCCTGGAAAGCCTGATTGCAAATCCTGAACAAGTGCTCTATGATGGGCTGGCTCCCTGCCCAGAGACTGCATCAGAAATTCTGCTTGATGTATCAAACTCCCAGCAAGCAGGGGGAAGGGAGGAGAGCCAGGGGAGGTAAGGAAGGGGTACCATAGCCAACCCCAACTTCCCCGCGTCCCTCTTCCCAGGACACCAGGGAAGCACCAGGAGGTTCCCTTCCCTTTGACCTGTCCCTACCCAGGAGGGCTTTACACCATATCCTGATGGATTTGATCCGCAGGAAAACAGCAGCGAGAGGGACCAAGGATGCCAGATGCTGCAGTCATGCTCCTTCCTATTTACTCATGAGACCCCACTTCTCATGGGATCTAAGTCCACCAGCCCCACACTCCCCAGCCAGACTTCTTCCTCCACCAGCAGTGCAGGTATTACGGCAGCAGCTACTCGGATATTCGGAGCTCCTGACTGCAATCTTAAATATCAAACCAAGGCCACGCTCACAGCAGAGATCTGCTCTGTGGGGTGACACAAGTCCTGCTGAGGAAGCTCTGACAAGAGAAGCTCAGGGCACCTTGGTCAGTCCCACCAGTCAGTGTTGTCTACTCGGAGGGCAAAGTGAAGCTCTTTGGAGGCTACCAGACCTACGGAGCTGTCAAGTCACGTTGTGAACTAGTCCTTCACACAATTTAACTATCTTCTTTCTTGCCAGGTGGAGAAGAGGGATGGGGGTAGCGTGTCTAGGTAAGGAAGCAAGACTTCAGACGCCCCCCGAGTTGTCCCCAGGCACCACATGTGAGCTCAGGAGACCTGGAGATGCAGGTAGTGGTGCAGGGCTCAGCTCTCCCAGCGACCGCCTGATACTCAAAGTTTCAACGTGACCCAGAGGTGGCTTTGCATTAGGCCTCCTCACACGGCAACAGAAGAGCGAGAAAACCTTTCTTGTTTTTAAGCCAAAGGTGGCATTAGCTCTTTATAAGGATCTCAAACATTTTGGAGCCAAAGAGGTCAGTTTTCAGGCTCCAAACGCATCAAAGGCTCTCGGGTCAAGAGACATCTGGAAACTGTGCCGGTTGATGTTAGTCACCTACTATTTCATCCTCATGCCCTTTTAAACGGAGCTCCTTTTCTCAGTGAGAGGTTGACCCAGCGCACCGAGGAGCCCCTGGAAGAACTGCTGACGTCGGCGGGCCCTGCATCACGCCGATGCTATTCTGGCTTCTTCCCCACGATGGCCTCCCTTCATTAGATGTCACAGCACGAGGACAGTCTCTTTCAAAGGGAGAAAAGGCAGCTACCACTGTGCTTTTCAAAGCAGTTCAGTGCAATCTTCACCCTCTCCGAAGGATGAACTTGAGGAAAAAAAACTGGGGCCATGTTGCAGAGCCCGTATCGTGTCGCAGTCAGTCCCTGCAGACAGGACTCTCCTGAGGTGCTTCTGAAATAAAATGTCCCTATGTCCCTGAGAAGCAAAGGCCTAAATCCAATGTGTTCAATTTCTCTGACCAACCAGAAGCAGGAGCTCCGATCGCTGTTTTTTTGGAGAGGGTGAAGCCCTAGGGTGGATCACGGCCAGACGAGATAGTAATTAGTCACAAGGAAAAATACGATAACTGGGCCCCATGCCAAAGGCAGAAGAGCGAGAAGAGCAAGGCCCTCAGGTAGACACGGCCAGGGTGGGTTGGGGCCAGGATCTAAGGCAAGTCACGCCTAGAGCTCAGCCTGGTGGCTGGTGGGACATCAGTCCGCACGGGTGGGATGGGCCCTGCTCAGGTGGGAAGGCAACTCCTTTAACACGTCCCAACCTCCAGAAACAAGGACAGCGACCACCGCACGAGAAAGGACTAGCAGGAGAGACAGAAAGATCCCAGCCCGTTTGCACAGCCTCTGGGTCAAATTAGCGCATGGAATTGGGGACAGCAGCAAGAAAGGTCCTCATGGGAAGGAGGATGCGAGATCAAACCGCAGCAGGGAAGGAGACAGGACTCCATCACGCGGCAGCTGAGATGTGGAGCTAGGGTCTGTTCGAGAAGGTGGTGAGGGGATGGAAATCTTTTTTTCTCAAGGATATCCTCAGGGATTGATCCAGATATCAAACCTCTGTTTTCCCCATCTATCTGCCACCAAGGCAGATGACCACAGATGAAATAAAAGACATCGCTGCTGTTATCCACCTGCACATCACTTGGTCTGACTGGACAACCCTGCCCCTTGCAGGACTGGGGACATGCCCCTACTCCGTGGGTGTCACCAGCTACCAGGATTACTCCATCCCTCTTAGACAACTTTTTGCTACATCCATCACCCATGGTACCCAGGACCGAGGCAGCTGATAAGTGCAGCATTCACCCTAAAGGTCACTCCCTGCTTCCTGACCACATCGGTGGCTGGGAGCAGCCAGAGGAGGAGTCCCAGTGCCGCTGTCCCTTGTGACCAGGGCTGGGCTTTCCCAGTGGGGAGGAAGGTTTGCCACTCACCTAGCAGCAGGTTCATGAGGACCTCTTGGCCTGCCAGCGTGCTGCTCTTCACCAGGCAGATGAGCGTACCCGCAATCCAGGGGATCCCGTGCCCTGTTATCCCCAGGAGGTTAATCATGGAGCGGGCACCCCCCCAGGAGGAGGCTCTGTTGGCGCACACTCCCAGCCTCTTGGACATGCAGATATCAATGGCCAGCAGGGAGTTGAAGGCGATTCCCCTGAAGGAGGGGTTGAGCTGCATGCAGTCCTCTTCGGGCAGCTGCTGCGACTGCCTCCGCTCCTTGGGGTTGTTGTTCTGGGCACCAGCTGTCCCGGCCTGGCCGCTCTGCTTTCTGCCGGAGCTCCTGCTCTCCTGGTTCCCTTTCAAGGGCTGGTTCAGGGAGAGGAACTCAGCCCTGTTGAGGACATTGTTCCTGTCTCTTGCCCTGGACCGCGGCTGGGATGCTGGCATTGCAGTCTCTCTCTAACGCAACCTGCTTTGCAAATACCGGGAAGGAGAGAAATCCCTCTTCTCCCTGCAAAAAGCTTCCCCCGCTCCCACCCTCACGAGCCGTGAATTTGGGAAGCTACAAAGGTTCCCCTCTGTTGCAGTTGCCCCCAGCACAGACTGCAGCTGTTAAATATAGAGTAAGGAATGCACATGGCTGTTTACTTCATGGGCCTAGCAAGCCTGGAAGGAAAATTAATGCCAGGCTTGGCAGCCACTCCAGTGCCAGGGAAAAAGGTTAAACAGCCAATAGGTTGGAAGAAGAGGAGGGAAAAGCGTTGTGCCAAAGGTTGGTTGCTTCTGGCCTGGTCTATTTAAATCTTCCAATTGCTTATTCCCCTGGGCTGCAAGGGAAACTGGGAAATGTAGTTTTTTGCACGACAATTCACATTTCAGTAGCGGCAAGTCAGAGCTGGAGGAGATCACGGCATCCCCCCCCTCCCCACGGCAGCCGGCATTGCTCCTAGGGTGGGCTGCGCCGCCTGGCTTTGCAAGCTCCAAGGCTGGGCATTGCGCGGGGGCTTCCCCTCCAAGGGGCTCTCCCAAGGGTATCTTCTCGATTTGTCTGTTCTGCAACACCTCACCCCTGCTAGGGCACCCTAAACACCACCTTCCTCTGCCTGGTATGGATACCTTTAAACATCACTAGCCCCATCCTCTCTCCCCGCTCAGGGCGCGTCCCTGCAGCGACTTCCATCACTCACCTCATCCCCGGACCCAAGGAGAAGCATCACCTGCCTCCTGATTAAAAAAGACACGGCGCCGCTAATGAATTCCCATCCCCCTGCCCCCAGCGCTGAGCGTGACCTCAATACCGCACGTGTTTCTGCCGTGTCATCCAGCATCGCAGATCCCACGCTGAGAGCGGGTGACAGGCGGTGCCCGCGTCCCGGAGCCGCGGATGTGATCAGCAGCACAGGTACCAGCCCCAGGGGAGCGGGCATCAAGGGATGGGGAGGAGGAAGGCTCGTGCCAGGCCCTGGGGAGTCCTCCTGCAGAGGACAGGGAAGACCAGCCATCCCTCCGGGCACGGCACATTGTGCTCCATCACTTCGTCTGTGCACAGTTGCCGTCAGCCTCCCACCTCCCCTCTCCCCACCGCAGCTGGGGTGAACCCCACTGAGACATCTCCCACCCGCCGATCACCAGAGCCCCTGAGAACACCCCGTCTGCGCTCGCAGCTCCAGTTTACGGGTCTGAATGATCTTGCTACAGTCCCTGAACCACGGCCGCGTGGATCTAAGCCTCAAGCACCGCTGGGAGAGACCGTCCATCTCAGCTCCTCCTGCCCAAGGGACGGCAGCCTGCTGCAGCACCCGCCTGAGCCCGATCCACCCGGGCTGCCATCGCCGGGTTACCTTCCCTGGGCAATGGGCTGTTGCGGCTCCGCACCGCCCACACACTCAAGGAACAGGATTATTCCTATGCAAATAGGCTGGAAATCCCCCGTGGACAGAGAAGTGGAGAAGATGAATATTGCAGAGAGGAGCAGAACAGGCACGTCTCTTGGTGCCAGTGAGATTTGCCTACACAAATGTTCAGTTTCAGAGGTCAGTATTTGTACAGGTAACCCTGGGAATCAGGCCCCCAGGGATCTTTAAAAGTCTTGTCCAAAATGCACTGGAGAGCTTAAGTGCTAAATGAAAGGTGGTTCTTGGCTTTCTAAGATAATAAGACAAATTTTGCACTTTCTGGCACTTTTTCTCCATAGTTCTCAAAACCCTCTAGATGAACTACGCACCCAGGCTGTACCCAGCTCACAGACAGACGGGCCACAGGCGAGGGCAATGCTTGGCCCAGCAAGTGCCAGAGGTCCTGAGGAGCCCTCGCCCCTGGGCTTTGCTCATATTTCCCCCTCAATGAATTAAAGGAAAATAATACACGTCAATTTATTTCCGAATTACACCCTCCAGGAACCTACCCCTAGTCTGCCAATGATCCTAGCTGGAGGAAGAGCTCGTCCCCTCCTCAGGCACCCTTACCCAGCCCACAAACCACCACCCCCTTCGGCTCAGGTACCATTTGGGGCTGCGGCAGCCCGGCAGCGTGCACAGACGCTGCCACATCACTGACACCCACCAGCTCCCGTCTGATCGCCGGCCGCGCAGCGGCATTCTCACGCTATCGGGGAAGCCAGCGCCCCATCCCTATCTGCCTGCCCTCATCCCGCTGCCCGGAGCCAAGGCATGTGGAAAATCTCAGCCCACCTGACATCAGCCAGGGAGATAACCGTCGTCGCTGCTTTGATTTGGCTATGGCTGTCACCTCCCCGCTGGATGGCCTCCCTGTTTCTCCTGCTCCATGCAGGGCTGCTGCTGTGTGGGGCTCCTTGCAAACGTCTGTGAGCAGAGGGTTAAAGCGCTGGTGGCCAGGAGCCTGCAGAAATAGGGAGACTCGTCTCTCCCTCCTGTCCATCCAGGTGCCGGGGATCCTGAGCTATTACTGAGCATGTTCCTCAGGAGTTGTCACTGGGGAAAAAAATACCTTGAAAGCCCTGGGAGTTAATTTAATCTGGTGCCTGTCTCTTCTGCTGACACTGATACAGGGGAATTTCTTTGCCTTACACACAGAGCTGCCCCGTGGGAATCCAGCCTCGCACCCCAGCACGAGTCCCCAGCTGGACGGGGACGGAGAAGGAAGGGCAGTGCGGGACAGAGGCAGGGCTGGCAAACCCCTGCCAGAAGTGCAGCGGGAAAGAAAAGCAATTTGGTCTCTCCTG